CTCGATCCGGTGCTTCTAGACCTCTGAGGTGTAATCATTCATTTGGAACAAATGATTTTAAAGAAAGTTCTGATCAAATCTGGTAAAGAGCAAGACTCTTTTACTTAAGAGCTTGGTAAAGCTGGTCTTCTGTGACTTACTAAGGCCCAGGACGCCCAGTAATGAGCCGTTGGTTCCGTGCCATTTCCCCCGCGCCCCGATGGGGAAACCCTGCACACGAACCCGTTTCAGGATTGGGTAGTGACCCCTAACTACTTTGGCAAAAGGCCTGTATTTGTGAAACTTGCAGTTGGCAAGATCACTGAGGGTCTTGTCCGAGCCCTCAAAGCCGATTGCTACATTGGCAATGATAGCTAGGGGCCCTTTCCTCATAAGGCGGTCAGGGACTCCGACTGTCCCGGCCGAAGACAGGAAGACACTGGGGGAGGATTCACGGTGAACGAATCACTCCCTGAGCCACCGTCAACCCCAGCAGAAAACCCGATCGTCAGCTTCACCAATTCCAACAGCTTGGGCGGAAGGGTGGCAGCAAAGGGCTGGAATGAATGCTCTGAGCCGAACCAGTCCCAGCCCCCCGTCACGAGCCCTCGAGTACAGCAAACTGTCCACGGTCAATTGCTCCAGATGGAGCCAGGCCTTCACCCTTGAACGAATGTCCCTGTCACAGACTTCCAATTGGGCCTGACTCACATCACCCAGGTCAGCGATCTATGTCACCTGGGGGAGGCCATATATTTTGAGGAGATCGACCCGCTGCGTCGGCTTCAGTTGGGCCTTGGAGATCTTCCGCAGGATCAACAGCACCTTGCTCCGCAAATCCGGTCTAGCAACTCCTTTAAGTGGGTTTATCTGGATCCCCAGATAAGTCACAGTTTCACCCACCCCCACCATGTGGATGGGGGTGTCAGCAATGCACCAGGGTGGGCAGTTGTTGACAGAGCTCTTCATCTTGCCTCTCTTTTCAATGAGGAATCCATGGCTCTTTGCCGGGTTGACTCGTATTCCAGACAGTTGGCAAAACTTATTCAGAATTGCCAGATTCCTGGACATGCCGCCCCACGAATCGCTCAGAAGGACTAAGTCGTCAACAAAGGCCAAGGACGACACCGTCAGGTCCTTTACAGTTACCCGCGCCCCCCTCTCCTCCAGCAGGTGGATAAGAGGGTCGATTGCCAAGTTGAAAAGCAAGGGAGACATGGGGTCCCCCTGCTTCACTCCTCTGTGCAATCTAATCTTCCCGGTGAGGCCGCTCTCCGACTTGATCCTAGTAAAACACCGTTTATAGGAGTCGGTAATGAAGTTCCTGAGCATCTCATCAACCCCCCTCTTGTCCAGCACCTCTGCAAGGTGTGCATGACACACCGAGTCAAAGGCCTTTGAGAGGTCGATGAAGACACATGCCAGTGAACCGCCATTCTTCTCGTACAGGTTGATGAGGCCATCCACTACCACGACGTTCTCGGAGCAACCAGGGGCTGGTATGAAGCCCCTTTGGCAGGGGTGCAGGGTGCACACTTCAGTCAACCGACTAGTCAAAACGCTGGACAGAGTCCTCAAGATCACGGAGCCGATGGTAATGGGCCGCCATTTCTTTATGTCCCTTTGTAAAGAGCCACCTGAGGACTTAGGGATAAGGGTAGTGCGACTACCCCTAAGACAGGCAGGAAGACGGCCGCTAAGGACAATCGCATTGAACAGGTCTGTCAGTTTGACCCCCTTTGGGTCCCACTTCAACAGATCCATCTTCCGGATGCGATCAGGCCCGGGGGCCGAGCCATTGTTAATTTTCTTCAGCACCTTCTCCTGTCTCTCTTGCTCCTTTTTCTCTCTTTTAACTCGCTCTTTCTCCTCCTGCTGTTGTTCCTTCTCCTTCTTATCCATCTCTTTTTGTCTCTCCTTCTTCTCCCTTTTCACTCTTTCCTTCACCTCCTTCTTTTGCCTTTCTTTCTCCTCTCTCTCCCTCTTCTGTATTTCTTTCTCCTCCTTTTTAACTCGTTCTTTCTCCACTTTCTCCTTCCGCTCTTTCTCCTTCTTCTCCTGTCCCTCTCTCTCATTCTTCTCCCTTTTAACTCATGCTTTCCCCTCCTTCTTTTCCTGCATGCAGCGCTCTTTCTCCTTTTTCTTTTGCTCAGGAGTTTCTTTGGGCTCACTGCTGAGTCTCTCCCTGTCCTTACTCCTCCTGAGATATTTATCTACGAAGAGCTGGACATTTATTCTCCTCCCGTCCTCCTCTGTCTCTGAAAGGCTGATGCTGTCTCCAGCGCAGGAGGGTCTCTCACTCCCTCTTGCCTGGTCCTTCCAGGATGGGACGATGGTGTTGGTGTCTCCAGCGCAGGAGGGTCTCTCACTCCCTCTTGCCTGGTCCTTCCAGGATGGGACGATGGTGTTGGTGTCTCCAGCGCAGGAGGGTCTCTCACTCCCTCCTGCCTGATCCTTCCAGGATGGGACGATGATGATGATATCTCTGCAGGACAACGGGCTCTCACTCCTTTGTCCTTAGGGCTTCTTGATGGTGGTAGAAGGCTTTACTCGACGAGACGGAGGGCTCTCACCCCTTCCGCTCGGAGTCTTCACCAATCATGAAAGGGTGGATGTTGTACCCAAACAGAGGTCTCTCACTCCTCTGTTTGGTCCCTTTCATGATGGTGGGCGGCTCGATGTCTTCTGGAGAGGAAGGTCTCTCACCCCCTCCTCTGGACTTCTTCCAGGGCCTGGAAGAGTCCAGATCTCCAGGAGACAGAGCGTGGACCGTGGTCTTGCATCCAAATAAAGACAGGAACATACATTCTAATGACTTGCCGATGTCGATAAACTGCATACACAAAAACAAACACACACACACGGTGGTCATTTCTCAGAGAATCAGTGAGTTTTGAACACAGACTTTACTTTTTAACTGTTGAAAAACATTCTGGTTGTAATTTATTGATTGTATTTATTTATGTGTCACGAGTGCCCAACCCTCACGGGTTCAGAAGACCCCAGACGTTCAGCTGCAGCAGTTCAACATTTCATAAAATTACATAACAGTGTCACCCCTTGGTCTCATCCTGCCTTGGTCTTGGTCTTGTCTCGGTCTGGTCCTGCCTTGGTTTTGGTCTTGTCTCGATCCCTTAATGTCTTGGTCTTGTCTCGGTCTAGTCCTGCCTTGGTCTTGGTCTCGGTCTTGACTCAGTCTTGATCCATAAATGTCTGGGTCTTGGTCTTGTCTCGGTCTCCATCCCAAAATGTCTTGGTCTTGTCTCGTTCTAGTCCTGCCTTGGTCTTGGTCTGGACTTGGTCTCAATCCCTAAATGTCTTGGTCTTGTCTGGGTCTCCATCCCTAAATGTTTTGGTCTTGTCCTGGTCTATTCCTGCCTTGGTCTTGACTCAGTCTCCATCCCTAAATGTCTTAGTCTTGTCTCGGTCTCGTCCTGCCTTGGTCTTGGTTTCGACTTGGTCTTGATCCCCAAATTATGGAAGCGTTTAGTGATCAAAATTCAAATGATAAAGCTAATTTGAAAATTCAAATGCATTAACAGAAATGCTTTTTAATTTTCAGAATATGGGTGTATTATTTGACTCAAAAATAACATTTTGATTAATTTATCTAATTTGAATTTTAGTTTTCAACTTCAAAAATGCACATTCATTGACTAAATTAAAATGAGGAAGAAAATTACATTTGCTTTATCATTTTCAAAAAATGCCCCGCTAAATCTGTATCATAATTCAAATGAAAAATCTCATTTTAAAATGAAAATACAGTAACAGAAACACGTTTTAATTTTCAGAATATAGGTGCATTATTTGACCTATATTTAAAATGAATATTCAGTCATCCAGTTTGCATTATACTTTTACTCTCTATGTATGCATATTGTATGACATCATTCAAATGAAAACTAAAAGGTCTTTGGCTTTTCGTTTTCAAACTTGCTGTGCTAAAAAGTGATCATAATTCAAACCAACTCGAAAATGAAATGACAAAGTGGACGGCGCAGGAAGGTGACGTCAGACTCCAGCTCCCAGGCAGGCGAGCGTAATATTTACAGTCTATGAGGCGAGCGGGCAGAACGCGCAGTACATTTTAATTTAGTCAAAGAATGTGCATTTTTGAAGTTGAAAACTAAAATTCAAATTAGATAAATTAATCATCATTTTATTTTTGAGTCAAATAATACACCCATGTTCTGAAAATTAAAAAGCATTTCTGTTAATGCATTTGAATTTTCAAATTAGTTTTATCATTTGAATTTTGATTACTAATCGATTCCATACCAAATGTCTTGGGGCCAGATTTACTAAAGGTTTGCGTGTCTTAAAACGTGTGCAAACTTGATACCACCAGCAAAAAATGTGCTATCTGATATACTAACGGCGCGCAGTGAGGATTGCATCTTTTAAATGAGCAAAACAACACGCATTGTCCTTTTAGTACGTTTGCCTGAATGAATATGCAATAATGGGGTGTTTCTGCCCTAACGTGCAACATACTGGGAGGAGAAAATGCAAACAAGTTAAGTTAGTACACGCATTGTGATTTACCAAGTCTGACAAAAAAGTGCTGTGATTGTGACAGTGTCTGTATTTAACACCTTTGAAAAGAACGTGCTCATCCAGGAGACCAGCGTTACACACAACAGGCTGCTGTTATTGTAGTTAGGAGGAGACATAGGCACAACAAAAGAAGGCATAAAGATTGCGTTTTTCCCCACTCATGTTAATATGTTTTAAATCACATTACTTTTTAATTTAATTTAATAAGGAAGAGAAACACCATGATTAAACTACAGGCTATTGTTGACATATATCCAAACAAAACTGAACATCCACAGCCTCTGCATTCTATAGAATTTCAACATTGACATTTATGTCGTCCTATTTCCCTCTTTTCTCCAACATTATATTTTCTTTTTCTCGGGTCGCGCGTCTCTCCCCCAGCTCGACCCCTCCGTTGCACTCCTCTCCATAATGCGCACGTCACCTCCCTCTAAAGCCCGCTGCTGCTACGCTGTAGGATGCTTGGATTGGGGGACCTCACCACTGCTTGTACCCCAGTCTTCGATACCTTTTTCCAGGGCATTTATGTCCGATTAGATACAGCACTGGCCAGCTGTCTAGTGTGCAAGAACGGCCCGAGTGTAGAGCACCCGTGCCACAGAGGACACAGCTCCGACCCCCTGCACAATGTATGACACTTCATTCTTAAGATTAAGGGAAGGAAAGAGAGGCCCTGTTTAATGCCGATGTTTTCTTATAACCAAGATTTTCTTTGTAATATTCAGATTTATCTCCTATAACTCGAAAGTATTGTGCGTTTATTTGCCTCTCCCACTAATACCTCTTTTGCGCTTGCAGTCGTCCTGCTTTCTGTCCAAACTGTCCATGATGTAAAGCAGTAGAACATGCAAAAAAATAACTTAAATAAATAACATAAATAGTATCGCCTCAACAAGGTTTGCACCTGTTGTCATTCACGCAAATTTTCTTAGTAGATCACCCACAAAACGCCCACCAACCAAACTTTTGGAGTGAACACACAATTTAGTACTCTTTAAGTGGGAGCTTAGTAAATCTGGCCCTTGGTCTTGTCTCGCTCTCGGATTACTCTGGTCTCGAGTATGTCTTGGTATGACTACAACACAACATGAATCTCTGTGCCACGATGAAATCTCTGTTTCCAACACTTTGTTTTAAAGAAACTTTTTAAGGAACGAGATGAGAAAACATATTTCTTCTGATCAGCTGATTTCACACATGACGAAAACACAACAAACTTCACAAAGTTTAGACAACAAACAACAAACATTTGACAGATTTGAAACTGCTCACACTGAACTAAGATCACTTCACATCTTACAGTCGAGATATTTAGAATTTAACTGATGAAAAATGTAATTTATCTGAAAGATTAACGCTTAGGGAGATTAAAAGTCTTCCTTCATCATTACACAGTTTGAGTGAGCAGAAAAATGTGGATTGAAAAGTTTTTCTTTCAGCAGGAGAAAACATGACTTATCTCTTCAAAGGTTAGCAGGGGACTGAGCAGGTGGAACTTCAGTGTGCTGAATGTTCTGTTGAGCCCTTATGAGCTCACAGACAACAGACTACACTCAGCTCCTTGATTACGTTTGAATCTAAACACTTGGTGACTTTAACATGGAGTCCAAACGTTTAGAGCCAGTGAACATGTTTCATGTACAAACCTCCACAAACTCTGTAACATCAGTCAGAGGAGGAGGAAGTGACCAGTTCAACATTTACTACAATAAAAGTCAGAAAAACACACAGAACTCAGATTCAGGTCACTTCATCAAAAAGCTGTTTTTACAGCATAAATTAATGTTTACAGCCTGGATCAAAAAAACAAATAAGTCTGATCAGTTATTATACTGTCTCTCCTACACCCCTGAGACCGGGGGATCCCATTAACTCTCTGAGCATCTCTAAAGCTTGGCGTGGAGGTCTGGCACTGTGGCTGATCACCATCTGCATGACCACTCATGTTTTCACCTTAAAGCACATCAACACGACTTACTGTGAGAGCTTCATGATCAACACTGAACCCGGACACAACCTGACCTGGCAGAAGTTTGAGTTCATCTTCTCCTTCTATTTGCCTCTGCTTGTGATTCTCTACTGCACGATCCACATAATCGTCATCCTGAGAGGGAGGCAGCTGGCCGAGGATGGAAAGATTCAGAGGGCTCTGTGCTTCCTCACAGTGGTGGCAGCGCTCTTCATTTTTTGCTTCCTCCCGAGCAACATCATGCAGCTGCTGATTTGGATCACGACCAAGAAAGTACACAGCACCCTGCAGAAATCTGAAGTCTGCCCGGCACTGGAAGACCTGACCACAGTTTTTTACATCAGCATCAGCCTGACTTATCTCAACAGCGCATTGGATCCTTTGGTCTACTACTTCTCCAGCTCTGCCGTTAAGAGCTGCAGGAAAGCTCTTCATCTGCCCCAACCAGACACGGCAGAGAGTACGCAGATGAAAACTCGAGAGACAGGCTCCCAGTCACTCAGTCAGCTGGCTCACAGAGAGAGTATTGAGGGGATCATTGAGATGGAAGCAGGAAGATGAAAACCTAACATTTTACTTCTGTCGTCCAGCAGATGTCACATAAATGTTTGCTCCACATAATTAATTTCCTTTGCAAAACATGTGCAGGCAGCTTCACTTGTCATACAAGTGTCTCGAGATAACACTGACGCAATATAAATAAAGATTGATTGATTGTTTGTTTGTGATGCTTTGTCAGAATTGGTTCAGAATTTCGATGAACATTTTAACCTACAAATAATGCAGACAATCGGGACTTTGATTGGAAGACGCTGTTCATGGTTTTTCAGAGAATAGTTCTGTTGAAATTTCTAGCATGTCAGAAACTCTTCGGAGCGGGCCATGATTGGCCCTCATGCTCCCCCATACACTGCAAGACAAACGACTTTCAATCAAGCCTGACTTCAGAATCCGTCTCGTGAGTCAAAAATCGAGTCTGAATCGTCCTCAGTTTGCACAATGGTTGCCTGGCTTAACGTAAGGTTTCTGTCTGTTCCAGGATTATTGTTAGTTTGTCTTTTACCAGCGTGGAAACCTGTGTTTTCATCTTCAGTACGTAAGTCAAGTTTTTAGTTTCAAATTGTTTATTTCAGCATTTCTGTGGTCTGTGACTTTTAACTTGACTTCTGCTTCAACTCAGAGGAAGTAAGTGAAGAACATTTACCTGATAAAGGAATTTACTTTGTAGATTCAGATGAATAAAAATAAAACATGTTAAACACAGAAGTTTATCGATCACTGAAGATCATTTAAAAAGGACGATGGTCAAAAATAACTCAAGTTTTTGTCTTTTTTTATGACAGTCTGAAAGTTCTTCTCTTGATTGACAGCTGAGGTTTCAACATGAAGACCATCTCTGCTGCTTCTGATCGTACAAACACTTTTATTTCTTCTCATGAATCTTAAAATAATGAACTCAAACTTCCTTCAGGGAGAAATGGAGGGTGTGTCCTTTGATCACCTGTTGGTATGTTGATGAACCAGCTGTGGTATTTCCTGGTCTCAGTAGGACTCTGACTCTGTCTCGTTCTGACGCAGATCTGTTCTCTGTGTTGAAGGTAAGAGACATTTTTCACTGTTTTTAAGACTCTCTGTTTAATTTAAGTGTCAAAAGAGCTGTAAGCTATCAGTTAGCCACCAGGTTCATTAGCTGCTCTGACTGTAGTAGAAGTGCAGGGAACACAATGACTCTCAGTTAGCATGCAGGCTATGCTAACATGCTAACAGTACAGTTTTACACAGCAGAGGGAGGGCGTGGAGTCTGTCCTCATCAGTTAGGACTAAAAATAATCACTCCATCAGCTCAACTGGTTCCACAACTTCTCTGAAACTGGACGGTTGCCAAGCAACACAAACACTCCTCTGCACCCACAGCACAGAGATCAGCACAGACCAGAGACCTTATTATGCAGCTCTATAAGTAGAATTACTGCAGTGAAATCACAGTGTGTGATTCTAGTAGATAGATTTATAAAGACAAACTCTGCCTGCTGTAGTTATTCTCTATGATCAGCTCTTATTGAATGTCTCCTTCCAGTCAGATAGCTGTGTCAGATTGATCTAACCAATGGGGATTCTTCAGTCTGTTGGGCCCTTCACAGGGGGGTCCTCCAACCATTCATCACCAATATGTGATCAATAATCTGACACCTACAAAAAAATGCTCTGTATAAACATTTATCTTCAAAGTTCACAGAAGTATTATATCCAACATAAAGAACATCTCTCTCCGATAGTTAAGACTAGACTCGCAGCATTCGGTCATTTACTGTTACATTTCATCTTCACTGTCTGCTCCACCACTGCTCCTCTGTTTTCACTCTCAGACGAATAATTCATTTCACAGGAATAAATCATGTGACTCTTAGCAGAGCGATGAGAGTGAGTGCTGTCAGATGGGCCCCCTTAGGACCCGATCACACAGAGACGCAACTCGCCTCAAAAAAACTGAACGCAGCTGAGGAAAGAACAGCTGGGAGCGCCTGTGGAGCAGGGCTGTGTGTGCATACGAGCGACCAAATGAAATATATTTGCTCCAAGAGGAGGAGGGGAAAATGTCATAAAAAGCTGAGGTCAAACCTACTTGATTTGATTGGCTACTTTGAGTGACATTGACGATCGCTAAGACTCTGCTTCTTGATCAAAAAAGTTGAAAATGTTTAAACTTTTATGCGTACCCAAAAACTGCTAGAAAAATGTGTCTTGCAGCAGCAAAGAAGAGCGCCCAGCAATCACGCTGGACCATAGGATATCCATGGTTTTGCTGGTGCTGCTTTCCCTTTTTGAAGGTGAACCAGGTAGATGTGATGTTTGTAGACTGACAGTGAGGTGATGATGATGATGATGATGAAGGTGAACCAGGTTGATGTGATGTGTGTAGACTGACAGTGAGGTGATGATGATGATGTTGGGGTTTTATCTAGTCAACTTTGGTTATATTCTTTAATAATTATATTTAATTATTATTAATATAAATAACAATATCATTAAACTATGTGTAATCAACTCGGGACAACACCCTGAAACCATGGAAATATCACCAAAATATCACTAAAATCAGTCTCAAATTAGTTACTTAATTACTAATATTATCAATATTAATAACTATGTTTAATAAATTGAAGGCGTTAAATCAGTACACAAAGTCCTCTTACCCAGCTTATATCACAATGCAAATACACCAGTAACCACAAACAACTGCTCTCTTAAATTATAACAGAATTTATTTAATCAAAGCAACATCAATCCAAAATCAATGAACTCAATCAAACAAGTAACTATCACAAATTAATCCAAGCAAACAAACATTATCAAGCAAAACTTGTGAATGAGGTGTAAAAGTGTGTGTGTGTGTGTGTGTGTGTGTGTGTGTGTGTGTGTGTGTGGTGTGTGTGTGTGTGTGTGTGTGTGTGTGTGTGTGTGTGTGTGTGTGTGTGTGTGTGTGTGTGTGTGTGTGTGGGTGCATGTGGGTGTGTGGATGAGAGAGAGAGAGAGGAGGGACAGAGAAAACAAGATGGTGGAGAGAGACAATGCACCATGCGGCTTCGTGACATGGGGACAAAATGGTGGATGACAAAGGAAGCCGTGTGGCTGCCTTTTGAAATAGTTTGAGCTCTCTGAGCTGAGTTCAGTAACTGTTACTTAAACACCAGAAAGCCAGTGGCCGGACTTTGATTCAATGGCGGGTACACTGGTCTTTCTTATTGTGAAAGCCATTGACTGAAGGTAAACTAGCATAGCATTACACACATAGGCGAACACGGCGGTTCTTCACAATAAAACAAATGCAGCAGCTTACAAATGATAATAAACAGAATGTGACGTATCATCAACAATGATGCATAATTATCAGTGGTTATAAAAGAAACATAACTATTTCTGAAACTATTTCTGCCCAGACCAAAGCTCTTACTTGGTGGTGACCATTGCAAAGTTGGTTGGATCTCCACTCTGTTGAATATTAAATCAACAGATTCAGGCAGGTTTCTTTCGTGGCAGATGTAGGAGGAGGGTAGCAGGATTCAGATCTTCGATCAGAGTGCTGCTCTGTGGTCTTCTGGTTGGAGCCAAGTTCTTCATGTGTCCTTGTGGATTCAGGGATTAGTGGGCTTTTCTTCAGCTCTCCAGTCCAGTTGGGTTCAATGAAATCTTACGAAAAATCAAAGGAAAGAAACTCTTGTTTTTGCTCGAACCTGATAGAATCTGATTGCACCCCAAAACTCCTAAAAATATGCCGTGGAAGTAGTCAGCTGAATCCTCTGATGCTTGAATTCAGCATGTGAAGAGTTACCTATACTGAGCAACCTCAGCTCTGGAGTTTAACCTATGTAAGCCAAGAGGAGGAAAGGGCTTGTCTCCTCGAATGCTGGAGTCCATCATGTGTCGACAGACCACACTTGAAGAGAAAAAAGCAATGCGATGCGATTGCTTTTAAAGACTGGAACTGCCTGTGGGTTAACCTCAGTCCTCCTCCAATGAGGATAGAGAATTCAGAAACCCCCCACACCCCCACTTTTCACATCTATTTGTTAGTTGCTGTTGGGGGGTGCTGGGCTAAGACTCCTTTGTATAGTTCCCTCCAAAACAACTCTTGTCAGGCTTGAGAACTGCGATACAGGCCTGAGTCCTTTGTCCAGCACACATGGCTGAAGCCCAACAATGATGATGATGAAGGTGAACCAGGTAGATGTGATGTTTGTAGACTGACAGTGAGGTGATGATGATGATGATGATGACGATGACGATGACGATGACGATGACGATGATGATGGTGGTGATGATGATGATGATGATGAAGGTGAATCAGCAGCTTCATCTCTTTGTTTCCTCAACAGCTGAAGATCTTTGACTGGATGTGACTTCAGCAGCTGAACTCCATCAGTGTTGTTGTAGTGACAGAGTGCAGCTCTCCCAGCAGGGGGCGCTCTGCTATGGATCAGTGTGAGGACACAAAGGAGGGAGTCCCTCCCTCTAAAACCTCTCTGTGTGAGGAACATGAAGCTCTGAGGTGAGGATCTCTAACTGTCCATGACCCTCCATATCACAGCTTAGTACTCACATCACTCTACCTTCATCATCATCATCATCATCATCATCATCGTCATCGTCATCGTCATCATCACTGTCTCATCTGCTGCTCACAGTAACTAATAATGTTGTTTTTTTGTATCAGGATGCAGGAACAGAGACCAGACTCTCCTGGACCCAGCTGTGTGTCCATGAAGAGTGACTGGTCTATAGATCGCTTTATTGACTTTAAAGATGGACGTCCTGCTGATGGAAGGTAAGAATTAAAAATAAAGTTAATGTTATGTCTCTGTTGTTGAAAGTCTCATATCTTTGCTCAGAGTTCATCACCATCATCATCATCATCATCATCATCATCATCATCATCATCTGCTGCTCACAGTAACTAATAATGTTGTTTTTTGTATCAGGATGCAGGAACAGAGACCAGACTCTCCTGGACCCAGCTGTGTGTCCATGAAGAGTGACGGGTCTATGGGTCGCCCTGTTGACTTTAAAGATGGACGTCCTGCTGATGGAAGGTAAGAATTAAAAAATCAAGTTAATGTTATGTGTCTG